ACAATTACTGTACTTATATCACTGACGTTGTGTATATGTGAAGTAATTACTTATATCACTGACGTTGTGTGCATGTGAAGTAATTACTTATATCACTGACGTTGTGTATATATGAAGTAATTACTTACATCACTAACGTTGTATGTATGTGAAGTAATTACTTATATCACTAACATTGTGTATATGTGAAGTAATTACTTATATTACTGACGTTGTGTGCATGTGAAGTAATTACTTATATCGCTGACGTTGTGTATATGTGAAGTAATTACTTATATCACTGACGTTGTGTATATGTGAAGTAATTACTTATATCACTGACGTTGTGTGCATGTGAAGTAATTACTTATATCACTGACGTTGTGTATATGTGAAGTAATTACCTCTAACGTTGTGTATATGTGAAGTAATTACCTCTAGCGTTGTGTATATGTGAAGTAATTGCTTATATCACTGACTTTGTGTGCATGTGAAGCAATTACTTATATCACTGACATTGTGTATATGTGAAGTAATTACCTCTAACGTTGTGTATATGTAAAGTAATTACCTCTAACATTGTGTACAGGTATTTTACTTGGGCACACCATAATCTCGAGAATATTTAGCTAGAAATGATTGATATCTTCGATTATCAAAGGTTACATACTAGTTACTCTCTACCAGTGGGCCAGCGAAATGCCTGCGGCCTTACAACGCTAGAAACCGAGCTTCGATACTCGTGGTGGGCAGAGCACAGATAGCCCATTGTGTATCTTTGCACTTAACTACAAACAACAGTTAACCCTACAAGAGTATGGACGAAGCTTTCCTAAGCTAATATCCTGGCCATAAATAACCTTATTAAAGACGAAATGTTTTACTTTTGTTGTGATAGAAAGAAGTTTGAAGATAGCGGTCAGTGTTAGAAAGGAAGAGATGGTTCACTGTTAGATTTAAATTTACATCACGAGGAATATTAATATAGTGAGATTCAATATCAAAACTGGGCATAAAATATTGATCGGCAGAGATAATTTTTGGAGATTTTAGCAGCAAAGATGAAGGAGATTTAAGAATAAATTCACTCGGAGTAAGGGGTTTAAACATAGGAACAGTAAGGTTGCAGGGGTTCTAATTGCAGGAGCCTGCAACTGAGAGGATAGAAGGTATCCAGTTTGGTTAACTTTGGGTAGGCCATAAAGAATACCAGGTTGTGTGCCACGTGGGTCAATTTGGCGGGAAATCGTTTCAAAGATAATATTTTGGTCTCAATATAAAAATCGAATACCAACAGTTCTTTCTACACACAAGGCTTGTGTGTAAGTATATGTAGTGACTGTAATGTCACGTTCATTGGCAGAACAAAACATCACTTAAAAACTAGAGTCTGTGAACATTTGGGAGTATCCAAAAGGACGGCTATCCATTAGTTAAACCACTCAGCTGTTCGTTGACGTGTTGAAGCCATAAGTCACAATATCTGATATAACAATTTCTACATGATTACAACAGGATCTTCAGACTTTGAAATCCGCATTGCAGAAAGCTTACTCATAGCTATAGACCATCCGGCTCTTAATAATTTACAAACATCCTTAGGCCTAAACACTTGATGTCTCACATGATTTGTTATTTTTCTACTTCCGTAACACCGTATATACTTCCTGTACTTCCTTCCGTTTACCACTGTATTGAATATTTTAAGTAAATTAGTTACTCAAGTAACAATAGTTAACAAATATAATGATAATATTATTTCCAGGATTTCACCGAAGATGTAATAAGTATATTCCAAAACGTTCGAAGATTTCGTAAATAAAAATGGTTTTTGTCTTATCATCCGTCTTCATTTTTATTATAAGACATCGTCTTCCCCAAAATGAATCGAAACCAGTGTTTTTACCAGACGATATAAGGTAAACACCTCAAGGCTTTTCAGATGGTGTGAAAAGATTTAACTAAAGACCAAAAAGCCGCCTTCGATATCCACTTTCTTATAGAATATGGACAACATAAACAGTCATAAACTGACGCCTATTTTTCTCCGTTTCAACCTTTTAAGTTAAACACTCTAGAGTGGAGCAGCTAAGTTTTCCATGGGGTGGGGGTTGGGGAGCAGAAAAGTTTAAGGGGTCCAATAAATTAAAAAGCTGAAATTGATCTTAATTATTAATAAAATGGTCATTAAAACAGATCAAATCAAACGTAATAGTGTTTACAGAAGTTATTATTATTATTATTAAATGATACAAAACGAGTTTATTATATATAAAAGCTGAAAAAATAATATGCGGTCAATATGCCTAGATTTTCAGGGAGCCGTGCCCCCTTGGCTACGCCTCTGTTTAGAGGTACAACTAAAACTGAAACATAAGTAACTACTGTTCAGCCTAGAACACCAGGATCTCCGAAAATATTTTTCGTATGTTGAATGCTTTGTGGTTAGGGCGCTTGACTCGCAATTTACAGGTCGCGGGTTCGAATCTCCGTCGCCGAACATGCTTGTACTTTCAGCCGTGGGGGCGTTATAACGTGACGATCAGTATCCACAAGCAGTGTTGAATCGCTACCTTCCTTCTTGTCTATCATTGCTAACTTATAGAAGGCTAGCGCAGATAGCCCTCGAGTAGCTTTGCGCGAAATTCAAAACAAACTTTTTTTTAAGAAGCGGGTAAGAACAGATAAAGCATGATCGCCGAGGAAAATACTATCTTTAGTACTAGTATTAAACATCGTTCACAAAATAAGAATTCATGACCTCGCTGTAACTACGCCTTTCAAACATACATTAAATTAATAAACAATCCAGTGTATAAGCACAGAGCCGTGACAGGTGTTGCATACTTAATTCTCGAGTTTTGTCTATCATAAATTATAACAACTAGTATGAGAAAGTTTTAAGAAAAATAGCGGTGCTTATTTTTATCTGTTATGAGTATGGATAGTCGCCAATGTTATTATCCTGCCTTGGTCGTTTTTCTTTTCTTAATTCCGTGAAACAAGAGTGTTATGATCTATTATGTAGGTTTATTTGTTTGATGTTCGTCGAACTTCGCGCAGAACTACACGAGGGCTGTCTGAGCTTGTTTGCCAGTCATAGACTAGAGAGAATGCAGCTAATCAACGCCACCCACCGCCAACTCTTAGGCTTCTCTTTTACTAACTTAGAGAATAGCACAGATAGCCCTCGTGTAGCTTTGCGTGAAATTCAAAACAAAACCAAAACAAACGTTTATTGAATTTGTCAATAATAAACATACAAGAGCAAATCCAGAATAGAAAACTTCAAAAACTGCGAATTTATTCATTTTCTCTCCGGGTTTTAATCCAAATCATGTAATATTTAAAGTGATCCAGATCATGTAATATTTAAGCTGATCCAAATCACGTAATATTTAAACTGATCCAGATCATGTAGTATCTAAACTGATCCAAATCAAGTAATATTTAAACTGATCCAGATCATGTAATATTTAAACTGATCCAGATCATGTAATATTTAAACTGATCCAGTTCGTGTAATATTTAAACTGATCCAGATCGTGTAATATTTAAACTGATCCAGCTCATGTAATATTTGAACTGATCCAGCTCATGTAATATTTAATCTGATCCAGATCATGTAATATTTAAACTGATCCAGATCATGTAATGTTTAATCTGATCCAGATCATGTAACATTTAATCTGAATGATTTTCAACTTCACGATGTTTCTACGGATATATACCGCTAAAATCAGGGGTTCGATTCCCCTCGGTAGACACAGCAAATAGCCTGATGTGGCTTTGCTGTAAAAATTACATAAACAAACACACCAACTTCCAAACTCATTTTTACTCATTTATGTAAAATGTTTAAATGTTTACAGAACCTTTACTTCCTTTCCGTTGTTCACAAACCTTAATAATAACGCAGCTCACGATCTTGTAAACTACACTCTGTTGTTCACAAGCTCCAACAGTAATGCAGCTCACGATCTTGTAAACTACACTCTGTTGTTCACAAGCTCCAACAGTAATGCAGCTCACGATCTTGTAAACTACACTCTGTTGTTCACAAGCTCCAACAGTAATGCAGCTCACGATCTTGTAAACTACGCTCTGTTGTTCACAAGCTCTAACAGTAATGCAGCTCACGATCTTGTAAACTACACTCTGTTGTTCACAAGCTCCAACAGTAATGCAGCTCACGATCTTGTAAACTACACTCTGTTGTTCACAAGCTCCAACAGTAATGCAGCTCACGATCTTGTAAACTACGCTAAACTCTTTCCTATACATTAAACGATGCAGAACTAATTGCTCTTAAAACTCAATCCAAAAACAAATGTATCGCTGGTACTAAAGAAAACAAAGGTAATGAGTTTTTCATCATGAAAAAAGTCGACTACATTGACAAAATGAAACAGCAACTCAGTGACCTTTGTAAGCTCAAAACACTAAATTCTGGCTTACTGTCTCCAATAAAACACTAAACTCTGGCTTACCGTCTCCAATAAAACACTAAACTCTGGCTTACCGTCTCCAACAAAACACTGAACTCTGGCTTACCGTCTCCAATAAAACACCAAACTCTGGCTTACCGTCTCCAATAAAACACCAAACTCTCGCTTACCGTCTCCAACAAAACACTGAATTCTGGCTTAATGTCTCCAATAAAATTCTAAACTCTGGCTTACCGTCTCCAACAAAACACTAAACTCTGGCTTACCGTCTCCAATAAAACACTAAATCCTGGCTTACCGTCTCCAACAAAACACTAAACTCTGGCTTACCGTCTCCAATAAAACACTAAACTCTGGTTTACCGTCTCCAACTTTTAAGAGAGAAAATAAGACCCTACGTTTTCTCAAGACCTTTAAGGACCAAAATATTATCTCTGAAACGGTTTTCCACAAAATTGCCTCATGTGGTACATAACCTAGTATTCTTTATGGCTTACTCAAAGTGCATAGAACTGGACACCCTCTTCATCCTATTCTCTCACCTCTAGGTTCTAGTAATTACAACCTCTCAAAATGTACTGTTCCTATGAACTTACGATCACTGGTTCTTTCACCTTTGTTTGTGGAATCTCCCTCTGCTGAACGATCAGCACCAGTTTTGATACTGAATTTCTCTACATCAATGTCCCCCTTGGTGAAACTTTAAATTGAATCGTGGGCCTTCTCTACTATCCTCTTAAATAAGCAGTCGGTATGTAGTATGTTTTAGCGCAAAGCTGCACAATGTCATATCTACGCTCTGCTCGTCGTAGGGATTGAGCCACAAATTATAATGCTATAAGTTCTCAGCTTACTGCTGAGCCACCTGGTGACAGTAAACATTCGTAGTTGTCCAGTGAATGATGTTATTTTCTATTTTCCCGAAACAGTTGCAGGAGTTAGCACGTTTGTTGAATTTTGCGCAACCTTCTCAAGGTATATCTGCGACGGCCGTCCCTAATTTTGAAACGAGAGACTAGATGAAAGGCAGTTAGTCAACACCACTCACCGCTAACTGTTGGACTACTCTAATCGAATCGTGGGATTTGACAGTTACGTTTATAATACACCTACTGTTCCACAGTGCGGAGTGAGATTTACATTCATGTATTTTTATGCTAACGGAGAACGAATCACAGAAATTCAGATCAACAATTCGGCACGTGAACAAGTGGGCAGCGTTCTGTGGGGAGACGATAGCAAGAAGCCCCTTTGGGCGCTCCGCTCGGTGGGGAGACGATAGCAAGAAGCCCCTTTGGGCGCTCCGCTCGGTGGAGAGACGATAACAAGAAACCCATTTAGGCGCTGCGCTCGGTGGGGTGACGATAGCAAGAAACCCCTTTGGGCGCTTCGCTCGATTGGGAGACGACAGCAAGAAACCCCTTTGGGTGCTCCTCTCGGTGGGGAGACGATAACAAGAAATCCTTTTGGGCGCTCCGCTAGGTGGGGAGACGATACCAAGAAACCCCTCTGGGCGCTCCGCTCGGTTGCGAGACGATACCAAGAAACCCCTTTGGGCGCTCCACGTTTATAGAGAAGATTGTTGATTATTTCCTAACCCTTTGTGATTTCCTTTTTTTGTTGTCGTCTTGATTCCGGTTTGATTATTTTTTCTGGGTAAAATAAAACTATAAAACTTTACATATGCGTGAAGGGCACTGCGTCCTTGAATTTGACCAACCTTCGAAAACTTGGGCACTCTGTCTTGCATTTTATATGGCGACACATTCACAGGCAAAGTAATATAGGCTCGTTTATTTTAAAGGGCTTAAATGAGTTGGCCTGGTGGGTTGTGGGATCGACACTCTTTCCCGAACAAGCGCGAGATTCAGTTGTGAGGGGCGCTATAACGTGACATTTATCGGTCAGTCTCATAATTCGTTGGTAAAGATAGCCCTCGAATAATTTTGCGCAACATTCAACAAAACAATCCAGCAATTAAACAAATTTGTATTTTTCTTTCAGTTCCCTTTGAATCTTGATAATAACTCAGCCATGTTTACGTCAAACTGGATTATCTTTTTTTGCTGGTATTAAAATTGCTTACACGACATCAGAATCTTTGGTGGGATCAATTCAACTAGTTTCATTCTTCACTTTGTTTTATAATAGCTTCATATAAATACTTTTCTTCGAGATGATTTAAAAAAACTCGAACATACGATCCTTGTACTCGTTTGCTTTGTTTGTTTGCTACACCACGGGTATCGAAACCCGATTTTTTGCGTTATAAACCTTCCGACTTACCGCTGAGCCATTGAAGGCTGCACTCGTTAAGTGCTTGCTGAATATTTCTGTACGTTCCATATGTTTTTTTAAGCATTGTCACGGTTAGTAACCTATAAGATTACCTAAGTCCCTGTCAAAAAGACCCATGATCGAATCCCAGACACTACTACGACACACACACAATTCTCAGGATTACCGCGAAGACGGCAACAAATTAGCAATCGAAACATAAAATAAACATTAGGTAATAATAAATACGCGACTAACGAATGATTAGAGAATAAGTTGATCACATGAACCATTAACTATGATAACGGTTTAAAAGTTTCTTGTTGAATTGAACACTGTTGAAACTAGGTGGAATTATTGATAACTTACAGAATTTTAAATACTCGAGTTTTATTTTGAAACGCTCCTTCGGGGCGCTTCACAATAGTGAACGTTTCTGTTTTCAATAAACCTGGAAGTCCTCCGTTGGGATAATGGTAAGTCTACGGATTTACAACGCTAAAGTCAGGGGTTCGATTCCCCTCGGTGGACGCAGCAGATAATCCTGATGTGTCTTTGCTATAAAACACACACACACAAGAAATATATAGGCTCTTGGAAATCGATAATGAATGATGGCTCACATTCAACATTCGCGTTTGTTCTCTTCATGTTATGAAAAAAAATTGTAAAACAAGTTTAATACAACTGAGCTTATGGGGAGTTTAACCATATCGTTTAATGTCGTTGTCAGACTTCTTCTCGGTCGTCTCATGTAGCTGAGCTAACTTCTCTGTTGGAAGTTTAACTGCGACCTTTATTGTCGTTGTCAGACTTCTTCTCGGTCGTCTCATGTAGCTGAGCTAACTTCTCTGTTGGAAGTTTAACTGCGACCTTTATTGTCGTTGTCAGACTTCTTCTCGGTCGTCTAATAAAGCTGAACTTGCTTCACTGTGGGTGGTTTAACTGCGACTTTTATTGTCGTTGTCAGACTTCTTCTCGGTCGTCTAATAAAGCTGAACTTGCTTCACTTTGGGTGGGTTAACTGCGACTTTTAATGTCGTTGACAGACTTCTTCTCAGTCGTCTCATACAGCTGAGCTTACTTCTCTGTTGGTAGTTTAACTGCGACCTTTATTGTCGTTGACAGACTTCTTCTCAGTCGTCTCATACAGCTGAGCTTACTTCTCTGTTGGTAGTTTAACTGCGACCTTTATTGTCGTTGTCAGACTTCTTCTCAGTCGTCTAATGAAGCTGAAATTGCTTCACTGTGGGGAGTTTAATGGCAACTTTTATAGTCGTTGTCAGACTTCTTCTCGGTCGTCTCATGTAGCTGAGCTAGCTTTTCTGTTGGAAGTTTAACTGCGACCTTTATTGTCGTTGTCAGACTTCTTCTGGGTCGTTATGAAGATAAAACTATTTTTACCGTTATTATTACGTCAAGTTTCTTGTCGAAACCTAAACACATATAATTATATATAGTTGAATAAACTGTCTGTATTATAGAACTAATAATTCTTCACACAACTGGCTATGATAATATATGCTCACAAATCATACAAAACAGTTTATAGAATTCTATCCATTACTTACACAACACTGTGTTCAACTATACATCATTTACACAACTCTGTGTGATAATGTATTCAACTATACATTATTTACAGAACAGTGTGTTCAACTATACATCATTTACACAACTCTGTGTTCAACTATACATCATTTACACAACTCTGTGTGATAATGTGTTCAACTATACATCATTTACACAACTCTGTGTTCAACTATACATCATTTACACAACTCTGTGTGATAATATGTTCAACTATACATCATTTACACAACTCTGTGTGATAATGTGTTCAACTATACATCATTTACACAACTCTGTGTGATAATGCATTCAACTATACATTATTTACAGAACAGTGTGTGATAATGTGTGCAACTATACATTATTTACAGAACAGTGTGTGATAATGTGTTCAGCTATACATTATTTACAGAACAGTGTGTGATAATGTGTTCAGCTATACATTATTTACAGAACAGTGTGTGATATTGTGTTCAACTATACATTAGTTACAGAAAGGTGTGTGATAATGTGTTCAACTATAGATTATTTACAGAACAGTGTGTGATAATGTGTTCAGCTATACATTATTTACAGAACAGTGTGTGATAATGTGTTCAGCTATACATTATTTACAGAAAGGTGTGTGATAATGTGTTCAGCTATACATTAGTTACAGAAAGGTGTGTGATAATGTGTTCAGCTATACATTATTTACAGAACAGTGTGTGATAATGTGTTCAGCTATACATTAGTTACAGAAAGGTGTGTGATAATGTGTTCAACTATACATTATTTACAGAACAGTGTGTGATAATGTGTGCAACTATACATTAGTTACAGAAAGGTGTGTGATAATGTGTTCAACTATAGATTATTTACAGAACAGTGTGTGATAATGTGTTCAGCTATACATTAGTTACAGAAAGGTGTGTGATAATGTGTTCAACTATAGATTATTTACAGAACAGTGTGTGATAATGTGTTCAGCTATACATTAGTTACAGA